TCCATTTATGTAAATGCAAATTGCTTGTATGAAATTCTCTTGAATACTACAAGCGTTAGATGTTCATATGAATATATGATAACTATTTTATCAATAAAATATTAACATTCACTTCCTTTCATTGACTTGAAAGGAAAATTTTCTCACTGTTTTCAATTTCCTTCCTCTAAAGATAATGAAACAAGTGCAGCAGTCCTCTTTTGACTAATGAACAACGTAGTGTTAAGGAAAGGCTAAGATGAAGCTTAATAAAGTAATTATTTACATCCATGTCTGGCGACCAACTGTAAGCGTGTATATGTGAGAAAATCCACAAAATCTTTGAAAATTGTCTTGTTCCCCTAAATAGGTGTAAATCTGTAAAATTTGGTAAAAATATTATCTAGGACCAAGCAAAACCCTTATATCATTTATTATAAAAATTTTAATTGCTATTAACAGTAGAACTGCCGACCTTTCACATATAACTGAATCTGCCGAGAGGGACCATGGCCCATAGGATGGTTCACTACATTTGTTGATTTGACAGAAAGCTGAAATTTGATACAAGCATCCGTTGATCGACCTACCTACACACATGCCTATGGTGGCATAAATAAGAAGCTAAAGAAAACTTGAAAAAAACCGGGTCTTTATGATTTCGTCTATAACTTTCGATCCTTTTAAGATATTTGGAAAAATTTTCAAATCTATATACGTATCAGGACCAAAAATGTTGCCGGTCGTTCAACTATTACGATAAAATTTTAATTCCAATTGAAAATTCACTTGTAATTGGGTCGAAAAATGCTAACGTGTGTCAGAATAAATTGCCGATCATGGCTATTCTCGGACTGAAGATGAACGTTCGAGAATAACAGCTTTATAGCCATATTTTCAGGGGAGCGAAAGTTATAGACAAAAATATGAAAAAAAAATGTCGGTTTATTTCGAGGTTGTTTCAGTTAATTTCAGTCAATTCCATACCTTCCACAAGGAATATCTATGCTAAATTTCATGTTCCTATATTCGTTTTGAGGGGTGTGGCCTGTCAACAAGGATAGGAAATCAAAAATGACACCTTTCGTTCAACTTTTGTTCAATATATGCCATCGGCATCTCGAAAACTAGAGACCATGTAGGGAAAAACGTACTTAATATTATTTTCAAATAAATGAAGGGCTTCAACAAATTTTTGAATATTACATCCTTCATAACCGTTCTTTTGAATATCGTATTCGCAGATTCTACTGTTAACCCTCTTATTGACGTTACGTTTCTCTCCTTTTTTTTACATGGAGGCTGTTAAACTGTTATACTATAGAATATGAAATTTCAAATTTACAATTTAAATGAACTTTAATTATATCGAAATTTTTTATAATCGAATAATGTTGTTAATAATAATAAAATAGCTTATAATTAATTTTAAGTGAAATTTATATATAATTATGTTTGACACTTAATAGCATTAAAATAGAAAAAAAAAAAAAGACTCTCGCAGCCCATGCCAATGAAACAATATATATATATATATTTGTAATATTTGTTTCAATAAAGAAACTTAATTAACAATAATAATAGCATTTAACGAACCTGTAAATATAACTCATATGCATGCCATCGATATATATATATATATATATATATATATGTATGTATATATTTATAAATTCAGTGTTTCCATTAATTATATGCTAATCATGTACAGAAAATTATATTCGCATTTTAATCTCCTACGATTCAATATATGACACATAGGCCGTGGGAGCTATTAGCCGACGATCATTATAGATTTATTTTCTTGAATAATTTCCATCATTTTTTTTTCCCCAACATTCATCTTAATGCGAAGGGTGTATACTTGCAAGGTATGCAATTTTTATACCCTACACTACTACTGTTACTACTTGGTGGTACAAGAGTATATTAAATTGTTGGAGATGAAACACACAAAAGGAGTTAAGGTAGAACGAATCACTTGAGACTGAGAGAATCATTTTTTTAGCTTTATTTAAAATGTACTTTACTACTACACTAAAGCTTAATAATCGAAATATTCACTAGTTTTGTTTACGATTTCTCGCCTCTTATCTAGTATTGTCCGGATCCATTTTCGAACATGTTCGATTTAGCAGAGCTACTGATCTGCTAATCGGAACTAGACAGGTAGGGCGAATGAACTGCATTAAGCAGATGTTGCCAGATCAAATTCATTTTCTGGGATGCTTTTGCTAGAGACGGACAGACGTATACGAATTCTTATTGCTCTAAATTTCACGCAACTCTTTACACTTTAATACCGAATGATGATAAATTGTCGTAGACAACTGAAACTTATACCCCCCAGTTTGTCAAAGTTATCAATATTCTTCAATTCATTTCGAAAAATAAATGCAGTCATGAACAAATTTGGGCAATGGGCAAAATTTATTAATACACCTAATATTATTAGTTAGTTCGCACTGCTTGATATCCTCTGTAAAAATCTAAAAAGACTAAATAAAATGCTCATTCTCCTTTAACCAAACGCAAGCAAACACTAGCGACAATCCTGCAAGCGTATGTATGATCAGCTATGAAAACAACTAACGAAGCAACAAATAAAGAGAAAAAAAATATTAAAAAAATTGTCGAGGGAAATATGGCCATGCAAAGAAAAGAAAATGTAAAAAAGCAAAATTAAAAATAAAAAATACAAAAAAAAAAAAAAAAAAAAACAAAGAAAAAAAAAAATGACTAAATGAATGAAAAGAAAGAGAAGAAAAAATCTACATGCAACCCAAACCACGAACATATGCATACATACAAATGCTCTCTTTATTTATATGGAAGGATTTATGCCGGCGAAAAGGCTTCGTCAATCAACTATTGTGCTGGTATTTGTTTTGTAGTTTGTGTTTTCCTTCTCTTTTTACCAGATTTTTCGTCGCTATTTATTCTATCTCGCACTTTAAATGTACATTTACAACCAGATTACAATGGCACTGCTAAACAAGCTATTACGTTAAAATTACAGTTAGTAAGAGGGTTGCGCTCTAACAAATGTTTGAACAAAAGAATTAAAAAGTATAAGAAAAAAATATATATAAAAAAAATGAAAACGATAAACGAAAAATGAAAAAAAGAGAAACTAAGAACTAAGAACGAAAACGAAAAAAACTAAAATAATAATTAGAAAAAAATTGCATTTAAGAGCATTTTCATGCATAAAAATGTAAACAGTTTTTAGAGAAGGAGTGCATATATACTACTCAGTCATTCATTCAGTCCCCCTTATCATCATCATCCAAATAAAAAATTCTAAATTAAACTAAAGCAGTGTAAACTGAGTTCAAAATGCTTCTCACGAAATGGCCCGTAACTAGTATTTAATATCGTATTGCGTAATAATAATAATGATATGGCTGCTACCATATCAGCCATAAAACGATGTTTGAACTTTACAACGTTAACATAATAGGTACTCGCATGTATTTTGATCAACGGCATTCATCTATTCGTGAAAACGATTTTGACCATTCTCTACAAAAAATAATAGTACTATTGATGATTGATTCAGTGTATATAGATGCTAATCAATCATAGAACATTCAAAATTGCATTCGCACCATCGAACACTTTTAGAAACTTATGGTGTTGCAGTTCCCTCATACTCCAATGGGGGTGGGTTGGGGTTAGAAGGGTTTATTTAATAAAGAGCGGCCTGGAGGAGAGAAAATTTTCCAAAACATGAACGAATTGCAAGACTTATTGGACAAAAACCAAACCCACAAAAAACGTACGAACAGCTTAGCAGTTGATGAATCAAGCGTTTCGAGACGTTTACATGCGATATGGGAAAGATCTAAATGGTGGACTGGTTACTTCGGACCGTTTCATCAACGTCGCACTCTCATTGCTTGCCCATTGGGAATCACGATAAAAAGCGAATCAATCCCAAGCGAAAAAGGTCATGGCTTAGTCCAGGGGGGCCCATCACATACACATGGCCATAAAGTTTTGCTGTGCATATGATGACAACAGCAAGGCGTAGTACGCGAGCTTGTTGAACGATGTTGTTGAACGAAATTGTTGAACGATGCATTGTTGCAAAAAAGACGAGCAATAGCGGTTAAAAGACACAAAACCATCCGCTTGCATGACAACGCTCGATCACACGTTACAAGGATATACTGTTGCAGCTGGAATGGGAAGTTGTGCTGCACCAAGTATACTCATCAGACATAACATCCTTTGATTACCACTTGTTCCGAACGGTGCAGCACGGTTTGGCAAGGTCACGATTTCGAAATACTGAAGAAGTATGAAAATGATTCGATGATTGAATGGCTTCCAGAAAGTTAGGAAAAAGATGTAGAAAAAGATAGAAAATATTTTGATTATTATTTGAATATTTAACGAATTTTTCCTCAATAAGAAATGCTTTTTTCAAATCGAAAAATCATCAAAATACATGCAAGCACTAATAGTTGAACTTGAGAGAAAGCGGATTATGTATCACAAAGAGGCCGTTTATTGCGAGCAGGGTTAAATAAAACCGATCGAAAAGTCTTTAGCTGCTGATGAAACGCAACTACATCTCAATTTTAATTGTGCGATTAAGTGTGCGAGGAAAGAGACGCATTCCTAATGAATGCAAAGAAACGACCATTACCGCGAACTACAGGTAAAAACTAAGCCCGCCGCTTGCCGACAAGATGATTTCTCATCTCAGCATTGCAACACTGAACCGCATATTATCCGAACCGCCAAACCCAAACACAAACAACAACATTTAAGCAGCGAAAAGAATTGCGCTTTTATACTGACACCGTTCCTCCTTCTTATTCTTATTATTATTTTGAATTATAATTTATGGCGTATTTGGCGGCGTTTTTCGCTCTTCTGAATATTGTATCCTTAGAGTGCTCGTGTTTTTCATCTTAAAATAATAGAGCTATGTTTGTATGAAATGAAAATGAACAAATCCTCTACGATATGTATGATTAAATACGAACTCTATGTTTTTGTCATTTTAGGTCCTTGAGGAACGTATTATACACATTCCGAATGTGCCTGATATACCGGAATTTTACTATCGACCCTCAGGTAATGAACTGAAACCAAGGCCAGTTGGTGAGGAAAACGGTATTGTCGTGTTCAACTATAATCCTATAAGTGCCGTAAATTATGTAAGAATCAATAAAATAACATGCTTTTAAAGTTTACATATATTATTATATAATATATATGTAAAAGATGTATAAGTAAATGTATGCTTGCCTACAGGTATGTCCTGGCATTTTTGCTCTGAATCGAAACTTAACTATTTGAAAACCGGTTTTAGTTAATTAATAAAACTTTTCTTAACTTGGCCGGAATAATATGCATATTTTATCGCATCTAGGATATGTGCACTTATTAAAAAAGTTACCATAAAGTTTTTTAAACTGTAATAGGCGGTTGTGTTCTGCCAGTAGACAATTTTTAGCATCATTTTACATTCCAACAAACAAACATATAAATGAACGGATAGAGAGAGAAATGATTGTTATTATTATGAACTCATAATCTTACATTGTTGTTGTATACGATAGGAGAAGCGAGCATATCTGTGGCTTATGCGGTACAAGCGTAACAAGTAAGAAGGCAGCCCTGCCTTCGAGGCGAATCGACCCATACGCCGTCATAAATATTCCGAACATTTCTCCGTACCTCAGGAATATCTATCTATCCGTAATCCGATTGGCGTTGTTTTCATTCACCGAAAACACTGCAGCTGGGGAGAACCTTTTATGGATTTAAAGATTTTTAGCTTCTAGCTTAGCTTCCTTTTGTTTTCATTTTTTTTTTTTTCTTGATACTATGACTTGGGTGTCAAACATTATTACATCGCGCAACCTCAACTTATCGAAACTCGTATTTTCCTTATCATTTCAACTAAATTATTAACCATCAGGGCGTATACGTCTGATGATATCGTAAACCTTTATGATTATAAGCTGGACTGCATTAACTTGTCAGAATTGAATTTTAAATAGGTCAGCTAAAGTTCTTTTACGCGCCTTTCCATCACATATGTGAACTCATTTAGTTAGTTATAAAGACTGACTGTGGAGGAGTTTAACTGGTGTATGGTAGTATGGATACAGATCATCCGCACCTAGGCTTTCGAATGATGTTTTATTCACACAATTAATAATAAAACGATCTGCGTATAATCGACTGGCGGGCCAGAGCGGGTATGCACAGAAGCCTACAGATAAGATGAAGTGTATTATGCGGGTATTGTGGAAGAACATTTAAAATATAATGCCAGGACATGCCTGTTATTTTCTCATTATATCTTATTATTATTATTTTAATTTTTTTTTTATAAACATATGTCATAAGTTATTCAGTTGGATTTTTGTTGAATTGTGCGCTTGTGCTTGTAAAATGGAAATGTAAACACTGCACTCTTTAAAGCACACATATATATATATATATGTGCATGCCCCTTTACATTAATCCTGCCCACATATATGACAAATGCCTCAATACATCTCCACAAAACGAAACAATATACGGGGTACACAAATATATAAATTTGTACATAGATGCATGGTTAAAATTGCTTAAATAATAGTGTAGTACATGTAAGCAATACAAAGTTTTATACAAAATTTGCTTTTATTTAATTTGTTTAATTAAGAATGTGTAGAATGGTTTTTCTTTTAATTCTGTACCAGCTTGTATATCATACAATACGAAACGAAAAACACAACAAATTACTCGAGCTTAGCACAGCATAGCATACACACATATATATATATATTACAAATTTTGTTTTATAGAAGTACGCACAAAGTTTTTAAACCTAAAAATATTGAGTAAATTTTTAGTAAGTGTTTTAGCAAACTATGAACCGCAACAACAAACAGCACAGACAGAAGAGCCATCAAGTAAAAGTTTTAGTATAACGAGAATAATAAATGATAAGAGATGAGATGCTACTTCTTAAGAGCTGAAGTTTGAACTCAAGGTTGCTCAATTTTTTTTTTTTTTTTTTTTTCATTTGTATACATATAACCCTTCCTTTTTTCTCTTTCTCTCTGTCTCTCTCTCTCTCTCTCTACCTCCCTCTTTTCTTGTTTATTAGCATATAAATTTCTCATAGGAGTTTCCTGAAAACATCTTTTAAAAGCTGATAGTCAGTCATTAAAGTTCCCAAACTGAATTCGTGGTTGACCATGCCTTATTCTCTGCTTTGAATACATTTAACGTTACCGTTAGGCAAACAAACAAAAACAAAATGAAAAAAGCAATAAATTATCATAGCGGCCATAATAAGGCGTCATCGGTGCATGTGTGAAAAAATCATTCACCATTCATTTGTATCTTGAATGCACGATTTGCCGTAAGAAACGCAAAAGGCACTTATCGTTGGACTTGGACGCGTCGCTTTTTGCTACTAAAATTCCTCGGTAGGGAACATTTATTTCCCTCAATTCGCACACATTCGATCAATATGGTCCGAAGGCCAACGGCCTACTTCATTCAAAGAGCAGACTAATGACGCCACCGCCATAAACTACAATGCTTTGTTGCGCCTATAAATGTTTTATACAGAAATAATGTCGGCGAATTCATATTAACTTGAATAATCCGCCTATTGAAAGCAATTGAAGAAAACTATTACTCATCACTGAGAATAGTTTCGCGATGAAAATTTCCACGCTTTTCGCCAACACAATTTAGAGAAATTACAGGATTGATGTACGCGAGCGGGATGCTCCGAACACTGATTGTTTGCTGTCGCTTCGTGGAATATAACACAACTCGTGTACACTTACACGACAATTTCGAAGTATGTCAGATAAGTGATCGATCAATACGTCTTTCTTTTCACACTCGCTTGCTTTTCGGCGAGCGTTCGAAAGCCTTTGTAAGAGAAAGGCAATACAATTATTGCTCTCTTCTAGAACCGGCTATGGTAAAAGCAAACGGACCTTTAAGGAAAATTTTTAATTTGCTCACATTGTTAAGGCGACTTATATAATACTTCAGTAGGCGTCCGTTAAGCCTGTGATAAAATCCATAGAGACGATCACGTTCTTTTTTAAATGAGATAACCAAAAGTTAATTTTTTCTTTTTCATTACAATTATTATTGTCATTTTAGTAAAATACATTTTACAGTAAAGATTGTGTAAAGTGTTTTAAGTGATGGGCTTAGCGCTCAAGTCGCCCGTCCTTATCGTCCTAACATGGTTCCGTGAATTTGAATTCTTTTACAATTTTTAAAATTTACACCGAAATGCTTTACCTACCCAATGGTAAGCTGAAAAGTTCAGCATCAATAATTAGATAATATTTGAAAGTTTGAAGCTTTTTTCGGTTTATTTCCAACCAACAGCAACTTTTTTATTTTTAACTTATTAAGAATTTTAATTTTGACAAATGCTGCCTATCTACTATCCAATATAATCTCGATATGTATGGAGAAGAGAAAGCAAGTAAGAAATAATGAAAGCATAAGTAAAGTAATTAATCCTTTAGTTAAATAACGGTATTTAGTTTTCTTTGCTTTCGCTAAAGTTTTCTCAAATACTTTTCCTCTTAGTTTATTTACTATTTTTACCACTATGCTATTTTAGTTCAAATTGTTAAAATCATTAAAAACTTTTAAACGGAAGCAATTGAAAAAGTCTAAGGTGAAGTTTTCTTCTTAGTTTGAGTTTTGTTAAACAAGCAAAGAAGATTATTTTTCAGAAGCAGAAAAAAAAAAGTATATTTAGTAATATTTTGGCGCTAAGTTATGACAATTCCTTTAAGATATTAACTTTAATTTCTGCGACCGTAGACTAATGACGATAGACAGCATTCGATTCTCTTTTTAGTTAAAAGTGTATAAGGAAATGTATGTCTCTATCTCGCCCTCTTAAAGATTATTGGAAAAAAAGTCTTTGAGAGGTTTTTTGGTTTTTTGTCCTTCGCGGAATATATAAAAGAAAGAAACTGCAAAGGTAGGTTTACATACAGTAGAGTACATTAAATCGGTCCTCGAACATTGGCGTCACAAAGACATTCTACAGGGCGCGGCATAGAATTCTGAATTGACTTAACGACGCCTGGTTATTATTGAAACTCTTATGGCCGCTAAGATTAAATGGCAGATGCGTATATTATCAGTAAATGTTTACAAGTCATGTTTGCGCATAGATATTAACCAACCTGATAGTTCTAGAATTTGATATAGAAATGTGAAAAATACCTCTGGCAGATAGGTGAACAAATTTTATTCAATATTCTACTTGCTTCAGTCATCGTCAATGACTGGTGAGTAGTGGTTGAAGCGTCTAAAAGAACTCATGAAACTCGTCAATGTAAAATATATATATATATATATCCTTGGATAGTGCATGATTCAAAGTCGATTTCGACATGTCAGTCGGTTCATAGGATATTTGTTTTTCGTCTCAAAAATTGATATTGCAGTTGGCTCGCCAGAGAAACAAGTTTATAAACGCGGTGTAGCATTGGAAAAAAAAATTGAAGATATTAATAGATATCAATCAGAAGTTTCGCATGAAGCTGTGAGTAGGGGATTAATTTAAAAACCCCATACAAAATCCCCACAAACGTGTTTTGCTGATTTTAACCAGCGCTGGCAGTATTAGACTTGCTCTCCTTATTAAAGGCATAGAGAAACGCGACTTGGGCCCTTGTGACCTTGTGACCTTGTAAAAGTCTTGATTAGTGCGTTCGTCCGTATACTGTTCCAATTATCATCGATAGTTAAAACTCTATAGAGTATATTGTTAGTCCATAGTAAATAATGTATGTATACAATTTACAAATTGATCTAAGGATCATCTATGAAATCCATCCTGCCGGATCCGGTTTGGAGATGCTTACAATTGACAAGGCGAAGACCTTAAGACGAATACGGGTTTTCTCACATAACAACGTTAAGATTATAAACATTTTAATAGAAGAAATTCTCATCACTAATTAATGTATCCACACTTAGTTCTTTTGGTCGTACGGTTAGTTCCGATTTTAATTTTTCCCTGTTATAACAGAAAGTTTCTTCAACTTTGACAAGCAAAAAACGCATATACACCAATTATATAGCAGACACATAGCTGAACATGTGAAAACCTCATAAATCTGTATATACTCTTTCTCTCTCTCTCTGGCGTGCATACATACATAACATGTACAGTTATATTCTTCTTATTGAAAAACAGCTTCAAGTTTATTATAAAATGTTTCCGTTTCTTTTTTTTTTTTTCTATTTTGTCGAAAATCCTTAACTAACTGAATTTTATTCTATTTGATGCTTGAAAGTTGTTGAGTTGTGACTTGTTAAAAATTGTTAATATTCGCTTTTACATATATGAAAAAAGAGTGCGTGATATGAGGAAAAGAAAAAAAAAAAAAGAATAATTTCATTACTTTAGGGTAAAAAATCAAAGAAAAAATATTCAAATGATGATGATTCAAGCGATTCTGATAATTCGTCATGCGAATCGAGATGCTCGTCACCAGATCTGAGAGAAAAGGAAATTATTAAAACGCAATCGCTATCGAAATTAATAACCACGCTGGAGCAAAGATCGTCGAGCAATTCGAACGATGACGACGATGACGACGACGATGACAGCGAGGATAACGACGACATAGAGCTTAATGGCCGGAAATTGAAGTGCAATGGCAAAAAGTATCCAGAGTCGAAAATAGAATCTACTGATATTGATAAAGAAATTGAGGATATATGGGCAAACAAATCGCCAGGGTATAATACACCTCCTACCCCCAGCTTTTTTAAAAGAAAATTTGACAAGAACCTTCAAGATCATTTAAAAGCAAATGGTTTGCAAGAAAGCAAAATTCCAACTACAATTTCGCCCGTAAGGCTAAATAATGAACTCTCTTCCAAATTTGAAATAGATATGAGTAAGTCAAGCAGTAGTAGTATTAGTTCGAATTCAGACAATCCCACTGAAGACGGTGAAGTAGATGGGGACGAAGATTATGTTTATCAGCAGGAATCACAAACGCCCGCACCCTCCCGACCATTAATTGAACCTGCAAGGCAAATTACAGTCAACAGTGCTATTGAAGTACTGTCGGCTGCAGCTCAATCTCCTCCCTGCCCTAATACTTTGGAGCTTAAAAACTCGGCACCAGTACCAACTTTGTTAATGCAACAATCTGATCTTAATAATGCAGATAGCAATTGGCCCAATAAAAGTTCGAATAATGCACCCAATAATATCAATAACACAAATCAATTTCAAGATAATCAAAATATTGCACGACAAAATACTAAACCTAAAAAACCACCACAGTTTAGCCGCTCGGCTGTGAACGGTGCGAAAATCGTTACCAATTGTCATCCCTACAATCCAGAGGAATATGATGGCCTGGAATTCGAATCACGTTTCGAATCGGGCAATTTAGCAAGAGCTGTTCGGATAACACCCACCTATTATGAATTATATTTGCGACCAGATTTATATACCAGCCGTTCTAAACAATGGTTCTACTTTCGGGTCCGTAGAACCAGAAAGAATGTAATTTATAGGTAAGTACTGTGCCACTCGGTTATTGATCATTTTTATCATATTCTGTTTACTACACCATTTCGTTAGAATTTAGTCATCACTTGGTTTCTTTTCACTCAGTCCAAATTTTCCTTTCCTACTTTGGAACGAGAAGGCTTGGTATTAGTTTTAATTATTCAAAGAACTTTGGTTATTATTAAATTACAAGGGATCACTTTAAATCCAGATGATAGATAAATCAATACCTATTCGGCTTAAGAGCGCAATGAGTAGATGCCAAATAACTTACTATGTTATTCTTTATTCTAGATAACTATATAAAGGGAAGCGTTCTCCGAAATTGCGAGATTTTTAAATGTTCCCGGGAAAACGCTAAAGTTCTGGTCGATCAAATCGATCTACAGTTGTTGCGCACTGCTTTGAAGCATTTTCAATTCAAATGAGTTCAAATGAGCTTGCAGATGAACCTTGTGCTGCAAGCTTGTTTTTTCATTACGTTCTCATCACGTTTTCATTACGTTATCTTCATTACTTGTCAGATGTTATGACTGTGTATGTCTTCACTTTATCAGTGAAATGTTTTCATTCATTTGATTCATTTAAGCGCAACATGTTATGCTAGAGGCATATACATATTAGGTTTCCTTATCCGAATGTAGCCATACATTTTCAAGTGCCCAGTGCAAAAGAGAGTTTTCCTCTAATGCCGCCAATGAAATATTTCAAACACCTAAGCAACTATCTCTACCTCGTCATCGTTCATACCAACAGTCACACATAGATATGAGAATCAATTGATGAGTCAAACCATATCTTAAGTCTTTCCCCTTTTAAGATTTGGTCATAGAGAGAGAAATAGATCACATTATCTATTCAAAGTATTATGTTAGTCCCTCTGGGCGGACTTTTGCTTAATCTCAAAACCTTACATTTTCTTCTTCTTCGTTCCCGATATAAATTGGGCTCACTTTTACATCCAAGCTAAACTTAATAGAGTGCCTGTGGTGTATGATGCGACCACCACCACTGTCGTCATAACTACTATGTGAATCTTTTAACTTACTCACAATACATATATGTTAAGTAATGAATTTGATGATTAGCCTATGAATGAATCCATCTGCAGTTATGAGTCTCTTTTATATAAAGTAAATGGTTATGTAAACGAAATTGCTTTCAAGCAAGATTATCCGCAACAGAATATCTTTGTAGTGTTTCAATGATTGGTCAAATCTTGAATATCCAAAGCTTCACCGCAAGCATTCTATAAATGGGGAAAGTGAAAAAATATAAAAGCCAAAGCAATTTATTCAAGCAGGCCCTGAATGCCATTAGCATAGAGTTAAGTTCGAATTTAATGCTTATGCCGCGCCGTCCTTTATATATAAACATTATTCATATATCTTTACTATTTTCTGGTTTCATTTAATTAGATTTTCCATAGTCAATTTGGTTAAATCGAACAGCCTATATAATGATGGTATGCGACCACTTTTATATTCAACAATTAATGCTAAAACCAGAAACGAAGGCTGGAGACGTTGCGGCGACAACATCTGCTATTATTGTAATGAAGATGAGTAAGTTTGATATCTAAATTCCTTTGTCTAGCTGTGTTTACATTCAAAGTTCTTTGAAGATTTTTTTTTCTAAATTTTTGGCCTTTTTTTGTTTTTTTTTTTTGATTACTTACAGAAATCAACCCTGCAGTGATGATGAGGTGGAATGTTCATACACATTAACATTTAACATTGAATTTTCGCACGATAACGATACCGTATATTTTGCGCACAGTTACCCTTACACCTACAGTGATTTACAGGTAATTAAGAGAAGCCAAAAAAAAAAAAGACTTGTTATAGCTGCGACGTTTATTAGGCGGTTCGGAAAGTCATTTCGATTTTTCCCATCAGTGGATTTAATTGCACTTTTTTACAGCCAAATTCACATTTAAGACGCGCTGTCTTCATATATTTGATAGCTGATGTCGTCGTAATGCTTGTGTGGGGAAAATTTTGTTTGATTCTGCGTAAAAGTTTTCATTTAGCGCCTTAACAAGTATTTAAAGTTGAAAGCAGCATTTTCGGCATAATCTACTCTTCTATTATTAACGAAAGAATAAAATCGATGGTTATTAAGCAAGAAAAAAATTATTGAATGCGTAAGGAGAGATTTCCTTTCGGCGCTTTTGCATTATGGAAGGCCAGTAGATAGGAGCTGATAAAGACAAATTAAAGGCCGAAAGACAAATCGTGAAATCACCGAGCATTTAACTCTATTGAATTGCATTGCTCTTGATTACATCTTCACATATTATGAAGGAATCAACTTTTGTTTTGACCAAAAAAGAAAAAAAAAAATGAAATTTCTTTACATATCACCCAATGCATGCCCTGAACAACTTAAGCGAATAAAATTCATAAGTCATTTATCTCTGCCCTACAAGGCAAAACTATCTGATATTATTTTTAGGCAAAGGTTTTAATTCTAACGCAATTTAGGGGAACGAATTTAGGGGCAAACACTCGAACCAATCTGGTCCAAATTAGTGTAGTTAAAAGAACTTAAATTATTTTTCATGCTTATTTTCGTCATAAAATACCTAAAGATATACATTGCTGCTGTTTGTATCGACGGAAAACCTTTTTATTATAAGAACAGGGCTTTAAACAATGATCCCCTCCCGTTCAAATTTTTTTCACGTCAATTTTCGCAATATATCGAAATATTATTATTACAGTATTAGAGTTAGTTAGATCGACACACCTCTTTTTACACAATTTGGGGGAGGCACGACCCGAAGACAAATTAAAGAATTTGCATCGTTTGCTTTTAAAAAGGCAGCTCAGGAGTTAAGTGTCCTTAAGAGGAACGTCCCACGTCATTCATGGTAGCAATGTAACTATTATTGTTATTTCTGTGCTTTAAGAGCTTGAGAGAGCAATCTACAAGTCATGAGTGCACTATTTCACTTCAGCGCTCAGCGCTCAGGTGCAATTAAAGTAAAAAGGTTACTGATTTACACTAGGAAATGAAAATTTCTTAATTTATTTTAATTAATATTTTTTTCAATGTTAATCTCTTTCAGGATTATTTGATGAATATTCAAAACGATCCAGTTAAATCCAAATTTTGTAAATTAAGATTACTATGTCGTACCCTTGCCGGCAATAATGTCTACTACTTAACTGTAACAGCTCCTACAACCTCAGATGAGATTATGAAGGTAATTAAAATATAAAAAATAAAAGATAAAAAATAAAAACAAGAAGAAAACTATATTTAGCGGATATCAAACGCACTGCTAGTTTGCACCGTCGTCATAGCAAAAACATAATTCCGTTTGTCAACAAAATATGTGTCACACAAGTATAAGTTAAGCAGGTATAAATACTTTGAACGGAAACGTTCGCAACGAGAATATATTTGCGTTTAAATTAATTTAAAAAAAAAAAAAACAAAAAAAAAATTAAGATATTGATGTCCATTCGCATTAAACATAACGAGTTAAAGATCATAAAAGAGTCATATTCCCGTGAAACTAACCCTAAGCCTTCGTTTATTGTGAACCTTATAGATGGACTGAGAAAATATTTTGACCATCATTGAGACCTTAACTAAACTTATATGGGAGACACAATTGAATTAATTTCTTTTCTTTTATTTCCTGTTTCATTTCGAGTTGTTCACAACAGGGAGAAAAAAAGAGAGAGAGGGACAGAGACACAGAGAGAGACAGAGAGAGAGAGAGAGAGAGAGAGAGAGATAAAGAGAGAAATGTAATGTCATTGTAGACATTGTCTGTGTCATTCCATCATCATGCAATAAGAACCTCTTTTCGCGTGTTATACAAGCGTGGTAATAATTTTTTCAACGTGCTGTACGAATACATCTGATATGATTGCTTAAAGCTATGAAAAATCAATGCTAGAATGCATATGTGCTATTACAACCGCATCAGAAGTTCAAGACAATTGAGAACACAATCTCAATAGAGGCTACGATCAAGTGATTTTTCTTCTTTACAATGCGAGATCACCAGGTGCATTTTAGAATGCCCTTTGAGCCCTTAACGAAAAGGCTTTATCTTGCTTGCACCTTTTCAACATTCCCTTTGTACAATGAATGCCTTATTAGCGATTCAGTTCTCCTAAAACGAATAGGATAATGTGTAGTGTATGTATGTGCCTGGGATTGAAAATAAATTCGAATACAATAGATACGGTACTACTGAATACTTCAAATAAAAATTATACTAAATAGAAAAAGCTCGAAGCTCGAATAGAAGCACTCGATATATAAGAATTAATTGCAAGCATATTTGAGTAGCAAGCAGATGCGCGGGGAACTATTTTGTCCACACTTCCAAAGCGGGGCACGACGTTTTCCTAATTTTTAATACCCTATTTGCAATTACGACCGTATACACATAAAACACCTATTACGCTCTCGGCGAATATTTACGAAACGAAATTTCATGTTGGATAGTGCTGTACTACCTACTTACATAGTCTTTACAACATGTGCAACACTTTAGCACGACACTTAATGCGTCCATTCACAAGCATATTGCGGTTTGTTATGAACGATACACTACTACTCTAGTCATGTGAAGGTGGGTGATGAGATGGAAGGACTGGATAGATGATGTGTCTGTTTCTAATTTTTAAAATAAAGTATGGTAATAATTAAATTTTATTTCTGTAAATGTGTTTGCTTTGCATTATCATATTTTCACTTTAACGTAAAAACGTATTTTCTGAACGAGCGAATACAGTTACTTTAGTATCTAGAATGTTACGTACGACGTACGCGTTTAAAGCAAGTAGTAAAGTAAGATATCAAAACCGCATGACTCTTGATAATTTAGGCAGCAGCATATACGCCACCATTGTAATAAGCATAAATTTTAGTTCTTCATTTTCAATTAGCCACAAAATATAGACATGACAGATGTCTTGTGTAAAATGTTTAAAAGTTTGAAAACTTTTCATCAAAATCCTATTATTATCAAGCACAGTGCGCTTGCACGGGATGTGCCTGCATGATGTTAATAAAACTTATTCTCGTGCATAGTTTGACGGCTTAGTAGAAATCTCTAGACTTGAATCTCTAGAGTAGCAACTATAAATCTCCACTAATTATCGTACGTAAAAAGTTTAACATTTAACACGATTTTATATTTTGATTGCACGCTTTAAAAATTCCAAGTTTCGAAAAAAACAACTCTGTGAGCAAAGCAAAGTGAAGACGATAGAACGTATCGAGCAGATGAACGGAAAAGACTAACTACATCGACTCGCACGATTCTACGCTAGTCGAGGATATACATGCGTATTCTGCTCAGGATTGTCTAATATATTCAAATTTCAAATTTAGTCGTCGCAGTTATAATAATTAGGAAATGCTATGATTTACAAATAATCATAATATGAACAGTGTGTATGACGACATCTTCATTCCACATTTTTCTTTTCGTTTTTATACCCCTTGAAGACCCAAAAGGGGAAACTTCAGAGAGAGAGAGAGAGAGAAGAGAGAGAGATAGCTAGATCAGAGCGAAATTCTGATCTGGCGATTTTCATGTCAATTTTGATAAAAATTCTTGCACACAGATCGCAAATGAAAATGAGCGAAATTGATCAGAAGACACGTAGCGTGGTAAGTGAATGATGATGGATGCAGAAAATATACGGCCTTGACCGTATATAATTTTCTTAGTTGTTTGCTTTTTCCTTTGAGACTTTCGCATACCCGGATATCGAGTTATGTTAAAGTTTTCTTTTTTTCATCATTGCGTATATACGGACACATATATACACATTTATTGCGTTTTTTGAATTTCCCAGTTTTTTCCCGTTAATCCATTGATAAAAACTTACTTTTTCTGTGTAGAGCAAAACATAATCAATTATAATAATACATAGTTTTTGTTTGAAAGCGAAGCGAGATTTTTTTGTCTTTTCTTTTTTTCATCTTAAACAGAAATTCACTACTTCCCTGCTCTTGTCATAGATAGAGTGTTTGTGCAATTAGAACAAGTGAGGCGATGGGGTTAGGTAATATGCAAGATGCATTTTCATTAACACTACTTACGCATATGTGTGTGCAGGCATGCATGCATAACGTTCATTACGAAAATGTACTCTTTGTGTAACTTGGTCTGCTGCATGCACATGCACAAGATTTAATTCTTTCAAATCTACCTAATAATGATCGATTGAAGCGAGAGTGTCATCAATTTATATTTCGTTCAAATTCCTTCGAAAGATGAACACAAGAGTAAGAAAACTTACATATGCGTCGAATTATATATGAAAGATAGATTACCGAAAATGTCGGGCAAAGCAAAGCCGTCGGAGATTTGGGATATATACGAAACTATTGAGTAAATCGAAAATGTAACTTAGATCTGCGCCACCATACAATAACAAGTGGTTTCACCTACTTCCGGTTCCCCCATATAACTCGATAGGAATTAATCTGTTATAAGTTATACACCTTGATATGTACCATATATACGTAGGATATTTAACTCACTTTACGTATATGAACAAAAAATTGAAATGTTTTTAAGGAAAAATTAATTTGAAATGATGCCACTCTTTTGAACGATCGTATGTACTTTTTAGAATTTTTTAGAAGGGATTCGGTATGTATATATGGGAAGACATGGATCATTTTTCCAAGCAAAGAGCATAAGATGAAAGTGAATCGAAATAAAAACTATAAATAAATAAATGAAATTGTAGAAGAGATGAGGAAGTGCATACAGTTAGTTTTAAAAACAAAATTCCAGTTGTACGTCCCGTCTCGCCTTTTCTTGGCAAATTTTCACCCGTTCTGCACTTCTTTCTTTCGAGAAATATAAACAAGATATAGTTGTTACATGTGTGTGTGTGTGTGTGAAGCAAAAATATTGGAATTCTCATGTGTAAAAGAGAAAGAAAGAGATATATCACTCAATAAGGCTGCAGGGAAATACCAATCCATAGTACGCACATTGAGCGAATGCGTCAAAATTTCATAACCTTCCGGATTACATTAATTTACACATGATGGGAATTCTTCAATAGCGACGAGATTCGTATATCATCCTACCATTGTTTTATCAGGCACAAGAAAATGTTTGTGAATATAAGTTTGCCTGTCCAGTCCGTCTGACGTCTGTGCATATGTATTATTGTATTCAAACTGAGATAGTGTTATAAAATTTGGTGCACCGATATGTTTTGGTCCAAGCGCCGTTTGGAACGCCATTGAAAATGATTCGTATCGGAACACTTTTCCGATCAATTTCCGCACACATCACGTCATTGTATATGACTAAGCAGGTTAAGCGAAGTGATGTTAGAGCAATTTCATAATGGACTGTGTCCTCCCACCAACAGTCTTCGTTCTTACTTGTTTTGTGAAAGTGAAGTAAAGTAAATTCATTCAAATATAATGAAACTCTTGTTCTTTTCAGCCAGCACTAAAAACGCTAGTGAATAATAAATTTATAGTGCATTATACAAAAACTATGTCTATTGATGTTTTCCAATATTTTTAAATTTATTTCTTGCAAATGCACACCTTTAAATATCTCTGGCAATAACCAAAGATTCACTTTACCCCACTCATACAACGACGAATAGTTTGTGATGATGTGTTACATTCGTTTAAACCTTAAAACCTTTTTCTTTTTTTTTATAAATTAAACAAAGAATTTCAAATTATTTTCATCACTAACAAAGCAGTTTGAATATATAAATATATATATATATATATATATATATCATATATATATCATCTCGTTCCTGTCTACGTTGTTATATTTAAATCAGTGTTTCTTCTCTCTGTTTTAAGAACTCCTTCAAGCATGATAGTCATGCTTTATTTCTTTTATACTTGTTCTTGTACACTGAACTTTTATCTTTATTGTGTTGCTGCAAATATATTTTTAATATTTTAAAACTAAAAGTTTAGAGTGACAAACATTCTCGCTGCACATTATTAAGGAAGCATTTTTTGAATAAATTTATGAATTTTAGCGTAAAAAATCAATTGTGGTTTCGGCTCGTGTACACCCCAGTGAAACACCGTCGTCGTGGATGATGAAAGGGCTAATGGACTTTATAACCGCCGATACGGCGGTAGCGAAACGTTTACGGCACAAATTCATCTTTAAACTTATACCTATGCTAAATCCGGATGGAGTTATTGTGGGCAATACACGTAACTCGTTAACGGGCAAAGATTTAAATCGACAATACCGCACCGTTATTAGAGAAACCTATCCATCTATTTGGTATACAAAAGCTTTGATTAAAAGGTATAAATATTTTTTTTGATTAAGCAACAAAAAAATAAATAAATAAATAAATAAGAAAGAAGATATATATTCAGTTCCACTCCTTCTCTTCTCTATTAGCTTTTACTGTTTTTTTTTTTTTCTTTAATAATTTTTTTTTTATTTTTCAATTTTCTCTTCAAACAAAAAACAAATATTAATAAAAAAATAATAAAAAAAAAAAAAAAAACTAGACTGATTGATGAATGTGGCGTTTCGATGTACTGTGATATGCACGCACACTCTCGCACGCACAACATATTCGTTTACGGCTGTGAGAATAAACGTAATGCGGAAAAGAAGCTCAGTGAACAAGTTTTTCCTTTAATGATGCACAAAAATGTTGCAGATAAGGTAAGAAAAAAAAAAAAAAAACTAAAGAATAAATAAATATTCTTTTACTGTTTTTTTTTTATGACTTTTTTCCCAAAGTTTTTCTACTTTTTTTTTTATTTTTTTATTTTTTTTTTTATTTATGTACATTATGTAGTTTATTTTGCTTTGCAATATGCAAAAAAAAAAAAAAAAAAAAAAAAAAAAAGGAAAAAGAAAAAAGAAAAAAAAAATCATTTTCTTTCGCAAATTACATGCTTTGCTTTCTTAACTTCTCAACCAGCAAGCAAGCAAGCTCTTGGCTTATTACTGGTTAACAATTCGTTATATTTCTTAAACTCGTATTTCTGTGTTGCAGTTTTCCTTTGAAAATTGTAAATTTAAAGTACAACGCAGTAAAGAAGGAACCGGTCGCATTGTCGTTTGGATGTTGGGTATTACGAACAGTTATACCCTTGAGGCGTCGTTTGGTGGCTCCACATTAGGATCACGCAAAGGAACGCACTTTAGTACAATGGTAAGTTGCGCGTGCTGTTATTGAAAGTTTATTCGTCTTCTTCTTCTTCTTCTTCTTCTTCTCCATTACAATTAGAAAGCAAGCAATCTAACCAACTTATTTGGTTATATATCATAAAATATTGAAAACATATTATTCTCTCTTCCTGTTATTTCCAATACATTGACATTTTTCTAGGACAGAAATATGTAATATTTTCACTTAATATTAGGCATCGCGCGATTTGTTCTTAATGGCTTTAAAAGAACTAAAGAGGAGATTATTATAATAATATCGGAAGAAGAATACCTAGAAAAGTTGTTGGTAAGGGGAGATAATCAAACATCCGGCGGAGATGAGCATTCGATATTGCATGCTAATATGTGACTGAAATGCGACAAAACTTTTTGCGGATCAATCCTCCTTTTCGCGATCAATAACAAGAAAAAGCTCTCTCCTTAACTTCCACGTGCAATTCCACGTGCCGCAATGTCTCGGTGTTTCCCCAGCCTTTCCCACTATCATCTGAAAATCTTTTATTCCCCCGAAAGTACGGTATGTACTGACATCCTCCAATGAACATTTTACTTGATGCTGTTTGTCTCCTTTCGAGAGAGAGTCTTTCACGAAAGCAAGCTACTAAGATATTAACTTTCTAGATTTCCCCTATAAGAGCAAGCAACCGCGAAGAACATAACATTATTGTGTATATATTTTTACATTGAGGTTACCGCGTACCCAAGCAGCGCGACTAATAAGTCGACATATATGATCTTATGATTGGTATAGAGCTTTGGTTGAATACTCGACCGGTGTACTTACGGCCATTAGCTAACTCTTTTTCTCCTCACTTTTTTCTGGCCATCATCGTATTTCGCGCATACGATACATTCCCTGAGTGATTGGATGATTTAAAAGGGAAAAAAATGCTAACTCCCTACAAATAAGTTACGTCAATTCTAATCATAATGTAAGATTCAAGAGTAGCGTACATAGAGTTATTTACTCTGTCAGAGGATATGCATACATTCTTGTCATATCTATCGGTTTGTTGTTGCCAATGATGTTGCAATATGGTGAAGTAATACCGAAAGCCTCAGCTTTAGTATTATTCATAGAAGGCAATCTCCACCGTACACCAGGCATTGTAACGTATTTTCGGAAAATTACAAATCATATCGAGAAGAAGTGCATATGTCGCACGAAATATTTCTAATGAGCATAATATAAAAAAGGTATCAAATTAGTTAAAATAATAATTATATTAATTTATTTATATCGCTCACAAACACAATCACACGCCTCTCCGTGCATTAATGTAATAGTAAGTTGTGTTGAAAAGAAAACAAAAAAAAAAAAAAATACATGCAGTACAACATACAATTCACGTAATAGATGCATTTTGAATATTCCATTACGATGATGTTTCCAACGCACAAAGACGAAGAAGAAAAACAAGTGTAAATGTCGTGTAAATTCCTGATTAAAGGGTTTACATACACCCCCCCCCTCCTCCTTTCACATATATTACGTCTATTTTCATATAGAAAGTAAATTACTTAAGCGCTTTCTCGCATCAAGGGCACATAAGCATCGTAAGTCGATTACATAACGACCATGTTAGAAGAGGCACCTTCTCAATGCATGTGTATATTTGCATATATAAGCTTTGACACTGTTATGCACTTAAAACGAGAGTGCTGTTGAGAAAAGGGTGAAAAAGCAAACACTTTTAACAACACAAATCGAATTTATAGAGAAACGAAAACTAAGAGAAAATAAATTTAATAAATTAAAAATGATTGTTTACGTAAATATAATAAATCATGAAACCACACCTTCAAAAAAATTCATCCATCTACAATGGAAGATGCATGGAAGTTAGCATGAAATGCAGCCTTGCTTCGAGAACAACTTTATACATACATTTCGTAATTACGAGATAAAAACATTTTAATAGTAACTTGGTTGAAAATGATTACAACCATAACAGTGGAGGTGATGGAGAAAATAATGCCAACAATCGACATATCAATAACATTTATTGATTAATAAGGTTTATGCGGCTGTTTAAACTGTGTTCAACTGTTCTTGTCGCATATGCATGCACCTGCTAACCGAGCACCAATCATTTGCCTGATAGATCGAGCAATGCATTGAGAGTTGATTTTAACCTGACGCCGGATAAAGCGTATAAAACACTGAATATAACCTGAAAGACTATGCTAATGCCCGGAAGCAGTGTTGCCAACATGGAAGAAAATGATACTACATTGCATAATGTTCATGTCCTTTTGTTGGCAGACGATCGATTCGAAGTTTAAGATTCGAAGTGAAAAGGGCACTGAAAAGCAGCCCTTTAAGGATACATATGATGAAACCAGAACAACGAAACAACACTTAGGACCTTCGTAAAGTGGGATGTAGTGCGATATTTTAAAGGCGAATAAAACATATATTAAATCTTTGTCCTGCATTTTGTCTCCGATCTGCTCGGGCTATAGTGAATATCTTGTCTACTACTTGGGAAACTTAAGCAAACATCTTGTTTATTACGTCGAATCATTCATCTGCGTGTGCTTAGCGAGTTTGGCTCGTGTTGTTTTCATATTTCCCGAGCAAGCCAGACTCATGGTCGGTACGAAGTATCAGTTACTCATAGTTGTAGGCCAACATAGCATAGAATGCAGAAGAACTAAAGACTGAATACTTATTATATCCATCACCGATAGATGAGGGTTACGTTCATTTTGTTAAAACGTGCGCGACACCCAGTAGGAACCCACCGAGTGCATATATTCTTGATCAGCATCAAATTATAAATCGATTTAAGCATCTGTCTGTCTGTCCGTCTGTGCAATGCGTATGATAAACATTCTCCTGGAGGCTTCGACTTCAAATTTGGCAGAAACATTGCAAGTTCTTGCGCATAGGTTTGATATTGAAAATGGGCTCTTTTAGTCTTTTTTAGGATAACAAAGAGTAATGGACATAAAAGATTCGACCACAACCGAATATAATTTTCTTATTTATTTTCCTTTTGATCGGACCGTATAGGTTTTTTTTCCCGTAATAATATCTGCAATATTTATATTATTGTCTCTCTCCATATATGCGAATACATATATGCGTAAATAAGAACAGTGTCATAAACGAAAAATTCTGTCCGACACACACGTTCACAGCTCAATAGAATTAAGCTTCACACGACGTCATAATGCATAACGGAAGTGAAAGTATTTTACTGCTCACGAGATTTCTCATGCTTTTTAACGCTGAGGCGTATTTCTACGAATATATTCTCTTTCAAATTTAATACGATTTACTTTTAGGTGGCCCCTACAATAAAAGGATCGCGTTTAAAGACATGAAAAACAGCAACAGATATGTAGATATCCAATGTCCAATCTTTGTAGGTGGGATTGAATAAATAAATCTTGAATTATGAACAATGTAATTCGTTCATTTTATTTATTAAAATATTTATTAATTATTTATGTTATTATTATTATTATTATTATTATTATTTTAATCTTATAATTATGATTATTATTTACAGGATTACGAGCATATGGGACGAGTCTTTTGTGAAACGTTATTGGACTACAGCGATGAAAATCCAAATAAAGTAAAGAAACAAACTAAACTTATAAAAATGATCAAAAAGATCAGAAAACGCGAGAAACGCGAACAGAAAGCATTGAAATTAAAGAAATTGAACGATCAGGAATGTATAATCGAAGAGAAGCTTAAAGTTAAACAATCTTTAGACGAGAGTCTATCATAATGTTAATACAAATACCATAACTGACAATACAGAAACATTACTCATATTCTACAACAACAACAATAGCAACAATAACAACAACAACAACTAAGCGTATAACACATATTACCATCTTAATACTATGGACAAATTTTCCGGAACACGTTTCAGTTTTCTTTTTCGTTTATCGTTCTCGTTTCATTCATAATTCTCGTTTTTCTTTTTATTTTATTATATATCCACGACCCTACTCCTATATATATATATATATATATATATATATATATACGTGGAAATTATCCAATTTAATTTTATCCGTTCGTTTATCTGTATGTCTTGAAGACATTTAAATTGCTTCGATTAAATTTTTTTAACCAACTCGCAAAAAAAAAAAAAAAAAGAATCCCGTATGTTTACCTGAAGCGGAGTGGATATCCACGATTCGTCTTAAGGCGAATATCATATTTGTTTTGTTTTCGTTTTCGTTTTCGATTCCTTTTTGTTTTGTTTTCGTTTGTTTTCGTTTTCGTTTTCGTTTTCATTTTTTGTTCTGTTACATTTTTTTCATATTTGTCATTTATTTGTTCAGTTCATTACATTGTGTTGTGTTTATAGTGTTCATGAACTTCGTTTTACCGACTGATGCCAAAATATTTTTACCAACTGTGCGCCCATGTTTGGAAAACATTCAGAACAAAGCTTTGACAAAAAGAAAAATAATAATAATAATAAAAACAATAATAAATAAACAAAAAAAAAAAAATACTCAAATAATTGTAAAAAATGGATGGAAGTAATTATTTCTCCTCAAAATATTGGATACTTGAATTAATTTCCATCATAGCGACAAATTTTGCCCATGCCTAGGTTACCGAGGCCAATTTTTTTTAATCGATTAATAAAATGGAAGCACTATATGGATCACAATATCTCATTAGGTTACCGCGGGGCAACAAAAATACAAAGAATCGAAAGCTTTTCTTAATCAATCAATTGTCAAGCGATGCTGTTTTGGATATTAGTTTCACCAGACCTTCTTCAACAGATTTCACAAGGGCAATGATGCTGTCACAGACAAATGCACCCAATTTTAGATTTTAATTCGTTGTTTGAGTTTCAATACAGAATACAGAATCTTGTAACTAGTATAAGTACTAGTGTGTGACTAGTGACGAAATGTAAAGTTGAGGGGATCTGGATTCACTTTGAATTCATTATTTTTTTAAACTACATACATGTTGGCTTAAATAGAGATATTATAGAGATAGAAAAGTTGTCTTCGACATTTTCATTAGTAATTTTAGTTACAACAAAATGATGAAGCAAGACTTTTCATCAACACCACTTTGGACTAGATGGCAAATAAAGAACCCTAAACAATTAACTAACTAACTAGCTAGCACTTACTGCAACTTACTACTGGCCGCACTTGGGCCAGGATTGCCTGAAATCGTGAAACAAGTATTTTTTGCAGAAGAAGAAATTAATTGAAGTAACCAATAAAAATCGAAAATAATTAACGCATCCATACCGTATATATCTAAATAATTAATTCCTTCACATACGGTGAATAAGAAAAAAAATTTTTACTTAATTTTCGTTCCTCAAGCTCAGCAATTACTAGTTGAGACTGCTTCACTCTAATAAACATCTTGACCAGTATATATATGTATGATAAAATAGAGTGATAAGGCACTATAACTAGTAGCTAACGTATTAATACTTGAACTTCGAGATTAAGTATAACGATGAACAAAAACTGTTTCTTTTTTAATGCAAAGAGAGAATAAGTTGACACACACAGTACAATTACTGTAACGTGCACAGTAATGGTGTATTAATTTTGTACACATTATTTTGATAACGAGCAAACATCTATTAGGTGAACATCATCAACGAACAATCGTTGGAAGAACTGAAAATTTTATTTTGTTTATAAGCGTACAGTCTGCATTCTAATGTCTTCCAATATATATGCCGTTATCTCGGAAGTACGCGATCTTCATGATCAACCAGGTCAACGTCTAGTTATATAATACCTATAATGCAGACGATAATAATTTCCGATAAAAGCCGATTGATTTTTACTGATAGCAAACGAGTTGTGTCTACACTAACGGGTTATGAAAAATGAAAAGTGAACTCTAGTATAAGGACATCATTCCGGCTAAGAAATTCAATACTTAATTAAATCATTAAATATATTAATTGACTATTTGAATGTAGAGGGAGGCAGTTAGACGTTCATCGAGATTCGCATAAGAACCAACGTAAACTTCTAATGAATTTACCCGAAGAGATCTTTGTTACTTTTACCTTAAATTATTAAGTAAACTTTTTAATATTATTCTCTTGTTTATACATATTTGATGTTAAATATTTGCTTCTCTTTCATAAAACGACAACAAAAAACAAAAACAAAAAAAAATTAGAAAGAGAAGTAAATCCGTTTCGTGTCAATTTCATAAAGAATTTTCGAAATTTTCGAATTTTTTCTAATAATTTTAATGCTTTCTATTTGCTTGAACTCGATTGCTTCACAACGATCACATCACACAGCGTCACATATACACCGCCACAACAATAATCATAGCCTTGTATAGTTTAGTATTATTTTTTTTTTATAATCTTTAATTTTTTTATATATATAATTTTTTTGTTCTTTAGTATATATAGTTTTAATTTTGGAGTTTCAGAAATAAAAGAGAACTCAATAAATGCTTTTACTACAGTACACATTATATATTATAAGATTGCACATCAATTGACTGTAGTTTTATTTGGAACAAAACAAATTTGTCAAAAAAAGAGAATTTGAAATTTTAACATACAATAAACATTATGCGCGAACAGTAGTATACGCCAGTTGTAATTCAACTTAAAGGAGACAAAAACAACAATCACAACAACAACAACAGCAAACAACAAATTGAACTACGAAGGTAACTACTTTAAAGGTTTTTCATTTTATACCTTAATACCACTTCGTAATGCAGGATACATTAAATTTGTGCGGATGTATGCAACAATCAGAAGGACTCGAGAGAGAGAGAGACCG